GGGGAGGGAGAGGGAGAGGGAGAGGAGGAGGGGGAGGGAGGGAGAGGGAGGGGGAGGGGGAGGGAGAGGGATTGGGAGTGGGAGTGGGAGGGAGAGGGAGAGGAATTGTTACGTCGTCCTTGAAGTTCTCGTCTTTGGCTTCGATCACGCGCTCGTTGCCCCCACGACCTCGAGACTTGATGAACTTCTCTTGCCTGATGACTGGCGCCTGCTCCCCGATCTGTCCTTCCTCCTCGTCTCTCACCTGACATTCGCCTCATCTCGCCTCCTCCTCGCCACTCCTTACCTTCCATGTCCCCTCCATCCATGCCGGCCATCCCACTGGCTCCGACAAGAAGCGGTTCTCCTCTTGCATGCTGACTGAGGAGGTTCAGCCGCGCACTTACGTCATGGCGTTACCTTGGTCACGCGTCCTCCGAGCAATGTCCTCGTACCTGGGCTGCTCAGCCAGCAGGGGGACGAGCGCGAAGCTCAAGAGGCTCCTCCTCGACCCTCGCTGGCAGCTCATGCTCGTCGCCACCTTGCGAGGAGGCCTCCATCGCACGACACGCCAGCAGCTCGCGGAGCCGAGGAGCGCGAGCAGAAGCAAAGAGCAGCTGGAGAGCGACAGAGCATGAGGCATGCGCGCACAGCGACAAGGGGGATGGAGGGAGGAAGGGGGGGGGGTGAGGTCAAGAGCGAGGGAGGGGGGAAGGAACGGCGGTGGCGGGGGGGGGCGGGGGGGAGGGGTGGGAGGGGGGAGTGGTTTTTTTTGCGGGGGAGGGAGAGGGGAGGGGAGTAGCATGGGGGGAAGGAGGAGAGCGAGAGAGAAGGAGACGCGAAAGAGAGGAGGAGGAGGAGGAGGAGGAGGAGAAGAAGCGAGACGATCACAGCCCAGCGTTTCATTGCAGGATCCGAAACAACTAATAACAGATGAATATCTCTTGATGCCGAAAGTTTCATGGTGTGAAGGAGATGAGATGAAGAGGGCAGGAGGAGGAGGAGCGAGAGGGGGAGGGGGGAGGGGAGGGAGAGGAAGTGAAGGAGAGGACCTCTCGAGCTACAGGAGGCATCAGACGCCTCGGTTGAAGAAGACTTGCTTCACTTCCTCCCCGTCCTTGGTCTTGAGCCCTTGGAACTCTCTCTCCACTCGGCTCACCGGCACCGAAGACTCTTGAGGGAACAAGCCGATGGCGCATGGCAGCGCCCCAAACACAGACGCCACGATGACAAACAGCTCGGCTGCTGGGCGGATCCTGGGCGGGAGCTTGGCCTGGTCGATGAAGCGCATGATGATGGGAGGGAAGAGGAGGACGGGGGCGGGGATGACGACCCTCGTGATGGCTCCTTGCAGGATGGCGCTCTTGCCTGCCTCCTTGGAGAGCCCGAGCACGCGGCCGTCTTTGTCCTTGACGGGGATGCCGGTAGCGAGCTCGCTGCTGCGCATGGAGACGAGGTTGAAGACGTTGGAGCCAGCCACCGCCATGTAGGGCACGAGCTTGAAGAGGGAGGAGGAGACGCTGGGAGTCAGCGGAAGCTTCTTGAGCGCCTCCCCCAGACCCAAGGCGATGCCGCAGGAGATGGTGGTTGCCCCGAGGTAGATGGCGGCAAGCTTCTCGTTGCTGAGGTCGCTGTTGGCATTCCTGACACAAACTCAGCTGGAGAAGGAGCAGGAGCAGGAGCAGGAGCAGGAGCAGGAGCAGGAGGAGAAGGAGGAGGAGGAGGAAAGGGATCGAACATGAGGAGGAGGGTACGAGAGGAGAGGGCGGAAGGAGGAGGAGGCTTTGGACCTGTTGCTGTAGTTGAACCCAGCGTTGTAACTCTGGTTCACCCACTGCCAGAAGACAACATTGAAGCGCGTCTGAGGCATCATGAGCATTCCCGCACAGATGGGAATGTTGGCAGGGCCGAAGGCTGCGACACGAAACGGAGCCGGGATGGGCTCCTGGGTATCAGGGTGGAGCACAGCCTCGACGATCGTCTTGGCCCTCCGCAGCTCATCCGATGACAGTCCCTGCGCGTCGCCAGCCTTGAATCTCTCGATCTTGGCCTTCGCTGCATCAGCTTCCTCCTGCCAACGCTTCATCAGCATCTTCGCTCCAACCACTCCTCCTCCACTTTTCGTCTTCAGCCATCGTCCCTCCCTCATCCTCTACCCCCATGTCCTGCCGCCTCTGAGCCATCAACATCATCGCCATCTCTCACCTTCCCCACGAGGAGCAGCATGGGATTCATCCATCGCATCATCTTCCGCGTCCTCCCCTGCCATGAGCTCTCGTCGTTCTCCTCCATCCCGGCCTCAGCTTCTATCCACCCGCCCACCCCTACCCCCTCTGTACTTCGTATCCCCCCTCTCCATATGTCTGATACCCCACCCTTTTCCCGTGCTCAGCCTGGCCATTTGCACCCCCACCCTGCCGATTTCCCTTTAGTACCCCCCGGGGTTCCAGCATCTCCTGCTACTGGACGCGTCAGAGGGAAATGGCGAGTGGAGCGAAGGGAGGGGAGGGGGAGGAGAGAGGAGCGAAGGGAGAGGGAGAACTGCCGCTATGATGTTCAGTCGGCATGAGAGAGGCGATGACAGCGACATCAGCACAGACAAGAAGAGTAGGAGCAGCTGCAGCTAGTCGAGACTAGTAGGAAAGGAGCGGAGCTGGCGCCAATGCCGCATGGGATGTTTGAGGAGACTGATGGTGTGCTAACGGCTGATGGTGTAGGTTTACAGAGGAAGGAAGAAGCTGGAACTGTCGACAGGCATGTTGAGGACGACATTCCTGCTGTCTTGCCTCCTTGCTCTCGCTCTGATCCCTGGGACGCACACCAAAGAGACGAGCGGAACTGGAGCCAACACAGAGATCACAGGGCTGCGGTTGGAGGATGTGGTGGGAGGGATGCGAAGGGTGATGGAGAAGGCAGCGCACTCACTGCGACTGTCGGAGCTCCCGCTGCAGGAGGTGGCGCGGTTGCAGGAGGAGCTGCACGCGAGCCTGTCGAGAGCCGCGGCTTCAAAGCAGCGATGGCTGGAGGCAAACGACCTGGCCAAGTACAACGGGCTGAAGAAGGAGCCCTACCTGACAGTCCCCGTCGACCTCAACGTTGTGTTCCTAGGTTTCGCGGGGGATGGGCACTACAAGCTGAACCTCGCTGAGCGCACGTTGCGTCCATGGTTCGAGCATATGCAGCAGACCCTTCCTCACTCCTTTGTCCCCTCCTCCGAATCCTCCGACTCCTCCGCCCCCCAGCCGTCTCACGTCTACTTCAAGTACCACCTGCGCGTGCTCGAGCTGCACGAGGACGTGAACTCGGTGATCGAGTCTCTCATCTGGGACAACGCGCGACCGGAAGACCCATGGCAGGAGGGCCCGGCCATCTCGTGGACGTCGCAGGACATGCACCAGGTCGACATCGTTCCCGTCGAGAACGCGCTGACCGACCTCGTCGACACTCTGCGGCTCAACGGCTCCTACACGCTCTTCCTGATGAACCCGAAGCTGCCGTACCCGGACTTCAACTATGGGTACCGCTATGGCTTCTCGCAGGCCGAGCTCGACCGCATGCACGAGAACGCGACGCTGCTGGAGCAGCTGATGGGGCGAGACAAGGTGAGGCCCATCCTGCGAATGTCCGATCAGCTCAAGGAGGATGTTCACTCCCTCCACGCTCACATCCGAACCATCCCTGGGCACGGCAGCACGTCTGAGGAGGAGCTGGAGGAGAAGAGGAGGGAGCTGAACAAGAAGGTGGAGGACAAGTCGCGAGAGAATGTGAAGACGCGAAATCATGAGGGAGAGATCCATCCCGAGACCCGAGGAGCAGAGAAACTTCACTCTCGGGGGCGACCCAAGTTCAAAGACATGCGAGATCTGAGCCAAGCATGGGCTGCCATCTACAAGCAGGCGCTGCATGACCTCAGCTACTGGAAGGTGACTTCCCTCCTCCTCGTTCTTTTCTTTCTTCCCTCCTCTCCTCCACCTCCCATTCTCAACCTCGTTCTTCTCTCTCCACCTCCCCTGCTCAACCTCTTTCTTCTCTCCTCTCCTCCTCCTCCCATTCTCAACCTCTTTCTTCTCTCTCCTCCTCCTCCCCTGCTCAACCTCGACATCGTTGGTTCGTAACTTTTTCCATCCGCAGCGACACCCGGCGGAGGAAGTTGAAGATGCTGATGACGAGGAGCTGGAGCAAGCCTATGACAAGGTTCTGCCCTGCCCCGTCCCATCCCACGATCCCTCTCGCCTCAACGATTCTTGTCCACTCCTTGCCTTCCTCCCTTCCGCCTCTCATGCTGGTGCGCTTGCAGGAGCTGCGGACACTGTATGGCACTCAGAAAGGAAAGCAACTGCCCCCCGACATGATGTTCGAGGTTATGGCCACCCGACTCCTGCAGTCTCGCTCAGAAGACGATAGGTTCCTCCTCCTCTCCCCACCCCCCTGCCTGTCCTCCTCTTCCCCACTGACGATATCATCGCCATCGTCATCGTCATCGGCATCGTCCCCCGTCCATCCTTCCTCATTCTTCTCTCCTCTTCTTGTTCTTGTTCCTCCTCACCTGGACCTCGTTAGGGAATACATCCGCGCTGTTGCTCAGGACAAGCACGTCAAGGAAGACTGTCTAGTGGACAACTGGATCTCTCGCCATCGGTTCGCCTTCATTGACTTCTCCTCCGGTCCCTTCGAGTGGGGGCCGATAGTAGGAGGTAACGAGCTTCCTCCTCCCCCCCCCCCTCCTCCCACTCACCTCCTTGAGCCCTCACCGTGTGGCAGGTAAAGGGGTGAGGAGCTTCCGGACGATTCCGGACATCATCTCCTTGAAGGAGGCGGCGACGGACTTCACGGTGATGCGCTTGAGGAGGAGGAGAGGAAGACCCGGGGGGGTGGGGGGGGGGGGGGGGGGCGAGGACCAGGCAGTGGACTGACGTGAATTGCAGGCGGGAGGGCAGTGGAAGGATCCAGCGTACGTGAACAAGATTCATCGGCAGGTGCGGGAGCATGGCATCGAGAAGCTGATGGTGAGGAGATGCGACGATGAAAGGAGACTAGAAGATGAAAATGAACCGGCAGGAAGAGAAGAAGATGCTCCTTGTTTTCCTCAACCAACAATGCCACAACGATGGTGGTAAAGACCAGGTCTCCTCCTCCTCCTCCTCCTCCTCCTCCTCCTCCTCCTCCTCTCTAACTCCCGTCGGCAGGGGAGCACATGCACTGAGCTTCGGCACAAACTCTCAGCTGTTGAGGCTTTCATCAAGACACACGCCAAGTATACCTTGCGCTCCTCCTCGCCACTAGCGCTGACGCTTCTCCTCCTCTCGCCTCCTCCTCGTCTTCTCCTCCTCTCGCCTCCTCCTCGTCTTCTCCTTGTCGTCCATCAGGGTGGAGACGGAGTCGGACGAGGAGACCATGCAGCACTTGAGCTTCATCACAGGTTCCCCTCCTCCCCTCTTCTACCCAGTGACCCTTGAGAGCAGGAGGACCCCACGAGGGTGCCAACATCTCCCTCGTCCAGCACAGGTTCCCCTCCCCTCCCCCCCCTTCGCTCTGATCCCTTCCTTCCCCTCCTTCCCTTCCTTCCCCTCTTCTCCTCCTCTTGACTCTTGTTTCAGCATGTTCGCTAAGCTCGGAAGCATCATCCAGTCGACTCAGCGGCAGCTCTTCACGCCCCCTGCCTCCGCTGCTCCTGCCCCCTACGCTGCCAACATCCACTTCCACGTCTACCTCATCACAAACCACAACACGTACAAGGTGAGGAGGAGGATCAGGAGGAGGAGCAACGGAAGGGGAGGGAGGAGGGAGTCGCTCGCTGACGATGCGACAGCCGGAGGGGAAGCAGCACTTCGACTACTCGAAGTTTCAGTCGGAGCTGGAAGCCTTCAGGTGGGAGGAGAAGAACAGGAAGAAAGAAGTTGACGACAAGGTCAGGCTACCCCGACAGAAGTACAACTTCGTACTGCACAAGTATTCCATGGCGGAAGACCAGGCGCTGGTAAGTTGAAGGATGGAGGAAGCGAAGTTGAGGGTGGAAGGAGGACGAGGAGGAGAGATGAGCAGCAGGACAAGGAAGTGACACATCTCAGGCTGTCGCATATGCAAATGCTCTACGAGCAGCTGTTGTTGCAACTCTCAAGGTGAGAGGAGGAGGACGTAGAGGAGGACGAGGACGAGGACGAGGAGATGGTGGTGGTGGTGGAGGAGGACGAGACGAAGAGGAGGAGGAGTGCATTCCTGAGCTCACAGCAGGTTGACGGACGGTTTGTGGCGACGAAGAGGATGTACCTCGACTCTCAGGTTGTGCGAAGGAGGAGGAAGAGGGAAGACGGCGAGGAGACGAAGGGGGGGGAGCGAGGAGGAAGAGGAGGCGCAAGATGAGAAGAGTGTTGCAGGTCCTCCAGAAACATCTGCAGCTGCTGCACGACCATCTCTCGGGCTCTGAGGGCGCAAGAGAGGGAGGAGGAGACGGAGAGTTTGGAGTGAACAAGCGCGACATCCCCATCTTCTTGTTCTCTATGGATGCTCCTCTCCCCGTGTTCATCGATAA